TTGACAAATGTATTAAGTATAGAGGAGAGTACTTTGAAGGTGGTAAGGTTGTTTTGTAAAAAAATTTACATAGCTTTGGAAAAAATTGTTTTTTGGGGGTGGGTAGTATAATATGTATACTACCTTTGTGTAGTATAATGTTGAATGAGTCATACTTCAGGCCTGGTCCACAGTGAAGTTCATTCAGTTGTTATATGTTAGTTAGATTTGAAAATTGCCTCTTTATCCCTTACAGCATCTGACACTGACACCAATTTCATTGTAGAGCAGATTATAGCCTGCTATACAGCAGTGTTTTGAACAGTAGATCCTAACATTAATCATTTGCAATTGAGCATCTGAGCATGATAATATCAAACTATGTGCTGCAATAATGTATTTAGTACATATTTCTGACAATAAGATACACAAACAAAAACCAGACATTGTAAACTAAACCTCTCAAGTTGAGGACATTCTCTACCTGGGGCAAGAACATTCAAGACAGAAAGAGCAACCAGTGCAAAAAAGTAGGAGAATGCCCAGACTATTTGCTAAATTTTAAAAGTAGGTCAGTGAAGTTGAGTCTAATCAAGATGGAGGGGAAATAAGAAAGAAAGTTAAGAGGGCAAGTGTGGTTAGGGCACATTGGACCTGACATAGACCAAGCCCAGTTCAATCCAGATGAGACACCACAGAAGTGACCGTGGAAATGGAAAGTGGTCTGGTTCTGGAAAGAATTTGGAAAGTAGAGCTAACAGAATTTGTACTGATTGGAAATAAGGTATGAGGGGGATGAAGGTCTTTGCCCTGATGTACCAACGCAAAGGAATTGACATTCCTGATGAGGAAGGTTAAGCATTGCCCTGCTAACCTCAAGGTCTGGTTTAGCTCCGTGAGAACTGCTCATTGAGAAAGATGAAGCTCTCGGCTACTGTAAAACTTTATAGTCTTGAAAACCCTGCAAGGCCACTATGAGTTGGGATCCACAAGACTGCAGTGGGTTTGAGTTTGGGATTTCTTGGCTGGGGAAAGCTGTAGGAGGAGCAGGTTCCAGGGAAAAGGTTAAGAATTTCAGCTTGGGATATGCTTAGAGTGAGTTATTCATTAGTCATCTAAATAGAGGTGAGTAAATAGCTAGATGAGTCTTAAGTTCAGAGGAGAATTGTGGGCTTGAGAAACAAATTTGGAAGTCTGTGGCATGTAGATGGTATTTAAGGTTTTTGCTAAAGGTTGTGTTCTGTAATCCTTTGAGACAGGATTTAGATGTGACCGTACAAAAACATTCCCTGACTCCTGTAGCCCTTGTTTTCTGCACCTCTCCCCCAAGCCCTTCATTTTTCTTCCTTTCCTTTGTAAGCGTCCCCCACCTTCCTGAACTTTTCTTTTTTCTCAGCACACTTGTAAAGTGATGCTATTTATTTAGTAGTCTCTCACATTTGTGCTCGGCAGTTCAAAGCCACCAGAGAGCTCCTCACTTCTGTAAACAGTTATAGCCTCGGAAGCCCACAGGGGGTCGCTATGAGTCCACATTGCTTCAATGGCAAAAATTTTGGAGGGTTTTTTGGGATGGTGGGGATAATATTTTGTTTATTTTTACATACCATGTAGACCATTAGCAAAACATAAAGGGACAGAATGCCACAAAGGGTACCAGCAACCTCAAGTTTCAAGAAACTGAAGGTTAAAATGACCAGTGAGCGAAGTAGCAGGAAAGACTCACGAAAAAGCAGACCGGGCGAGAACATGCAGATTCAGTCTATTCAGAATGAATGGGAAACTTGATCATTAATAACCTAGATCATTAATAGAAATCTGCATTAATAGAGCACTGCCCTTGGCATGTGGCAGAGCTTATTAGACAGAATGCAGATGATGCTGTTCAGGTTTAGGACAGCTAATTTGCTGAGTAACAATTATACATTAGAACCAGAGTGGTAGTTACTTGGGCAGTAGCCCTGGTGGTGCCGTGGTTAAAAGTGCTGGTCTGCCATCCTAAAGGTTTGAAGCCAGCAGCTTTTCCTTGGGAGAAAGATGTGGCATCTGCTTCCATAAAGATTACAGCCTTGGAAACCCAGTGGGGCAGTGCTGTGCCCTATAGGGTTACTATGAATGGAAATCAGCTCAATGGCAGGGGTTGGTCTGGGTTGGAATGTCTAATACTTTCTTGTGCCAGCTTTGACCTGTGGGGTCTCCTTCAGTGTGGTGCTAATTTGCTTTTATTTTCTGGTTATTTCTTGTAATTTCTGGTCCACTGGAGGGCTCCCATTTCGATTTCTAGGTTTGTTTTTTACATAATTCTTTTCTGTTGCAATGAAGAACTTGTAAGATGTTGGGCTTATGTGTGTCTCACTTTGCTCTCTTTACCCATAAATGTCTCTAATGTGCCCAGTTAAAGTAGATATTTTTGTGTGTGTGAAAGTCATCATTTTTATTCTCCTCTCCAGTGGTCCACGTATTCTTTACCCGTTTCCAGGGTTACTTGATATATATTCTTTCACATTGATATATATGTGATATATTTATATATTTACTGCTTTGCCCATAAATGTTATAATGCCATGTTTGTTTTTATTTTTTAGTGTCCTTGGTATCTTCATACACTTGTTAGCGACTTTATTTCTGTTTGTTTTCTCATGTTTTATGGTTCTCTTGGTTTTATGGTTTTCACATTGAAAATCATACCTGTATTTCATAGTTTACTGAATTTGTTGGTGGACACTTGTTTTTTAACCAGTGCCAAAATAAACCCCCCATTTATATTCAGTTTTGTATAGTTTTATCTCTTTCTGTGAACTAGATGCCTAAAAGTAGATTAAGTGATAAATTTATGTTTGTCTCATAAAAAATTTTTCCAATTGATGCTCCTTGTAATCATGTATGAAATTACCTATTTTCCTTGCCAATACTAGCTATGACCAGATTTTTAAAAAGTTTTATCAACCACATAGCCAAAAGACAAACTTTTTATAATTTGTATTTTCTTATACTCTGAATTTTAAAATGAGACAGGGTTTTTTCCATGCATTCTTCAGCTAGAAAGAACAAGTCTGAGAGCTCATTGTGTTAGAATGACAGGGCCTTTATTTATGTGCGTGAGCATTTGGCATCTCGGTGGATAAGTAAAACACAGTATGTGAAGCCTAGCATGATTCTTGTCGTAGTGGTGGCTAATAAGTCTCTCATATTTCATCCTTTATTTCTGCCTCCTTCCCGTGATAGTCTCTCTTTTTGGGTCGGATGTATCCTTCTAGGTTCCCTTAGGTGGTTCCGCTGACGTCAGAATGAAGGATCTCTCAGTGAGTTTAGGGACCAGAACGTTGGACAGCATAGTTTATTGTGATCCAAAATAAAATCTTAATAACAAAAACAACCAGTAGAGTGAAATCTTGCTCTTTATATTTTGATAACATGTTATAAATTTTCACAGGTTGTCTTAGGAGAAATATTTCTCTGAGGCTCTTGAGAATGGTTTGTAGAAAATTTTGGGGTTAGCAGGCTGACTGCAGAGCTAGGCAAGTTATGAAACTGTTGGATCTAGCTTGGGACTTTCAGAAATGGCTAGATATCCCCAAATTGATCTATATATGCAGTGCAGTCAGAATCATGATTTCACCAGGTATTTGAATGAAAGTCAACAGCTGATTCTAAGATTTGTGTGAAAATACAAAGGAAACAAAGCCATTTAAAATTTTTATTTTTTTTTAACAAAGTCATTTTAAAAAAGACCCACGTTAGAGGATGCATATTACCCCCTGCCTTCAAGATGTACTATACAAATATGAGAGGCCTTCAAAAAAGTTCATGAGAAAATTGCATTACCTTTTAATTCCATTTTTCTGTGAAGACGGTGGAACCTCCCTTGTTTAATAATCAACACAGTATAGTATTGATGAAACGGGTAGACTTATAGATTAGTGGAAAGACTAAAGAGTTCAGAAATAGGTGCATATTTACATTATCTGGCAATGTTCAACAAAGGTATGAAGCCAGTTTAATGGAATATTCAACAAGTGATGCTAAAAGAACTAGATAGTCCAGCAAAGTAAGAACCTAGACTCATAATTGTATGCAAGATTTAACTCTGAATGTATCATAGACTTCGATGTGGATCCTAATATAAAAATCATAAAACCTAGAGGAAACATAGAATATTCTATGATTTTGGATTAAGGAAAGGTCTCTTAGTTACCACACCAGAAACAATTTATAAAAGAAAAAACGATAAATTAGGTTTCATCAAAATATGAAATGTATGCTCTTCAAAAGATATACTTAAGAAAAGGAAAAGGCAAATTAAATTATAGCCTGGGAGAAAATATTTACAAAATTAAACTGATGAAAGTTTATATATTCAAAATGTGTAAAAATCTTTCAAAACTGAATCTTTTTTTTCTTTTTTTAAACCGAATCTTAAGAAAACACCTCTATCGCTTCTCGGCCATTTGGCTAAGATTAAGTGTAGTGAAGAAAACACCTCAATGAAATATTTTTAAAAATTTTACTATTTAGCTCACCAAAAAAGAAAATGCTTAGTATCTGTCATCATTAGGGAATGAGATACGACTGCACTTCGATTGGAATGGCTAAAATTAAAAAGAAGAAGAAGAAGAAAGAATCCCTTTAGTCCTGGAAGTGCCGCTGATGACTATGTCATCTTCAGGTCCAGGAGCAGTGATGTCCTGGACTTCCTATGAGAGTGGATTTCAAAGGCCTTGTCCTTGAGTTAATCTGATTTGAATCACGGGTATTAAGCTTAGGGTGATAGTTGTATTGATTTTAATAGTGAGGTTTGACCATTTACAGAATAGAACAAGGCAGCCTGGCTTCTGGTGAATGACTTTGACAGAGCTTGGGAACTATGGGACTTACCCCTTAATAATTCTTTCTGTTAGTTTAAATTTTGGACAGAATTTATCTGCTTTAAGCTAATGCTATGAAGAGTGACCGTTAGATGATCATTGGATCTGCTCTTCATTTCAATAGGTTTAAAATGGGTACTTGTTCTCTGTTTGTTGCAGGTACTCCATCTTCTAAGCCAGCAGTATTAGCCAATGGTGATCATGAAATAGAAGGGAATGACACTACAGGTGAGTACAGGATTCTGCAAACGTGTGTGTAAAATACCTTGATCAGCTCATTTGAAGAGAATTCTTGGGGGAAGCACATGACTTATCAAGGGTTCTGGTGTGTTATTTTCCTTGGATACATTTAAATCAAGGGCTTCTGTCCATAAAATCTCCCACAAAGGAAAGAGAAGAGTCAATTTCCTTTGATAATACTGAAGTCTTTCTCGTAGTTACACCACACAACGGCAAGAGCAATGTCAAATGCTCCTTCCAGATATAGAATAGCCGTCATCGAAGTAGGTCACCCTGAAGGCCTGTGTCCACTGCGTTTCAAGGCAGGTCTCTTGCCTGAATGCACACTGTCCCTGGTTTGTTTTACGAGGCTTACTGGTAGGAAACCTATGTGTTATAAATTAAAAGTTCTCCACCTTCTATTTTGCCCACAGTTTCTGTTTTTCCTTTATCTTTCTCATAACAGTTGCTTATGAACTGTATCTGTAACTTCACTCCTAGCCCATTACTTAAAAAATATATTCATTGCCATCCAGTTGACCGCTAACTCATGACTACCCTACTAAGTATCAGAAGAGAACTGGGCTCCCTCGGCTTTTCTGGAGAGTGCCAGACTGTCTTCTAAAGCTGCTCTGGCTGAGCTTCCATATCCAGCCTTTGGGTTAACAGCTGAAGGTGTTCGTTGTTTGGCACCACCCGGGTTGCTGAAGTTCTTGTGGGTTCCCACCACTTAACAAGCGCCATCCCTGCACCATAGCATCCTTTCAGTGGGCACACTTCTGGAAGCAGTAGCAGGAATCTAGTGTGTACTCTGGGGACTCTTTTCTTAGGTAGTCGATGTGAGTCATGTGCTAACGACATCAGACTGCTGTGACATTCTTATAAATAACTGCACTTAATTTGCAGTTGTGGTCAGGCTGATACTGTTGACCCAATTGAGTTGCCTTCTTATGATCAAGCAGATTGTGCCCTTAAATTGGGGCTTAACATTTGATTCACCTTATAGCAAAGTCAGTAAGAAACAAATGGTTTCTGTGGTCCTCTTCCTGTGCATAGATCTCAGCCTTAAGCCCCACAGCATCTCTCGGTTGCCCAGGCTTCCAAACAGTTTTCTGTTGGCAGTAGCAATTCCAGGATTTACTCTTTGTTCTGTGGCCATAGGAAAGGCCACATGTTTCTGATTTATTAAGGGCAGATCCTATTTATGGTAAAAGGTAATTTTGCCCAGTGATTACCTTCCAATTTTGTAAACTGAAATTTTGGTATTTCTTTGATAATCTTATTTTGAATGTAATATTGACATTTTCTGTGCTTGCCTTGAAAGCAAATGTCTACATAGGTAGTTTAAAGAAAACATTTATACAAATATATCCGTGATTAAAGGAGAAGAAACTATTAAAACAAGTTTTTAAAAATAAGTAATTTCCATTTTCTGTAACCAAGAGTCAGTGCCAGGAGAAGCAAAGACTGAGGCGGGGTAGGAGGGTTGAGTTGACGAACCAGTTGTAAAAGGGATGTCACTTTCATCCAGGAAGGAAAGAACGTTCAAAACTAGAGTAGATTTTTTTTTCTCCAGCTGTCAAGTCTGATCACAGATGATGAGTCTTAAACTCTATGTAGCAGTTGCTCCCCACTGTCAATTCTTTATAGTGGGGGGAAAAATAAAAAGACAAGGAAACCATGCAGCTTGGCTTTTACTGTCTCAAAATTTTCATTCCCTGGAGACTAAAAAGAATCCAGCTGCTTATGAACTGCCCGCGCAGTGACATTGCAAGAGCAGGTCTTGCTTCTCTTAGACGCCCATCTTCCCTGCAGTAGAATATGGTTTATGCAAACAGGTAGGTGTTTGGATTTTGACCTCTTGACTATATTGCTTTACTGAAAATGTGCATGTTTCCCTGGAGGGAAGTGGGAGTAAGGAGTCTCGGAGTGTATGCTTTATGAGCACGTTGTGACTTCATCCTAATTTGGGTGTCACTAATGAGCATCGAGCTCACTGCCATTGTGAAAATTCTGCTTTCTGTTCCCTTCAGAACTTTTATCTGGAGTGCTGAGAGCAGACCAGCTCCATTGTGAGCATATTAAAGGGTTTATGAGCATCTTGCTATGTTGAACTTGCTGTTTACTAACGACCTGTGCTTTTCTGCCCTTTCCTCCCCCTTCCTACTTCTTCCTCCCTTCTTGTTTTTCTCCTCCCAGAAGCCTAGCGTGTCTCTTCACACTGGGGCTGCTGCAACACCAGACCAGCGATCTTTCTTAAGCATCGCTGTACTTCTAAAACCTTCAACATTTTGCAGAGCTTTGCTTTTCCTTCCTGGACCAGTTAGAAGAAGCTGAGGGTAGTTCTTCGGGCCTCTTTCTCCTGACGCTGCACAAACACCTTCCTTTTGCGCTCTGCTGCAGGGCTTGTTGGAACCTCCTTTCCCTTTGTGAGCACAAAGTACAAGATGCATTCTTAATTTTGGTATTTTTATAAAAGGCATCTAATATCATCTGTTTTTAAGACTCATGCTATCATTTACTCCAACCTCATTTTTCTTTTCTTTGATTTAAACATTTTCAGTTGGCCTTTTCCATTTGGTTTTGAAATCTTCACCATTAATCATGGTGTGGCAATACCAAATGAGAACATGTGCTTCCATAAAGGGGCTGAGTCCACCAGAACTGCAGTGACCCAGTGACACCCCTCCCCCCCCATCCTCTCCCTGCTCTTTCCCTCTGTGAGCTTGCTTTTGGGGAGGTTAGCACAGGGTCGGAATCACTCCATAGCCATGAGTTTTAATCTTTCAGAAGGGAACCCTGGGTGGTGCAGTTGCTACAGCACTTGGCGACATGTCGGAAAGGTTTGAGCTCCCCAGCAGTTGTTTCGGAGATGTGGCAATCTGCCTCCATAAAGATCTCAGCCTTGAAAGCACGGTCCTGGCAGGGCGACCCTGTCCTGTGAGTTGGAGTCAGTGGCAGTGGTTTGGCTTGGGATTCTTTCAGGCTACCTAAATTTCAAAGCTCCACTTACTAAAATCTGGAGAACATTAGCTACTTTTAAAGCTTTTTAATTTAGGGTAGCTCTGATTAAACCTTGAAAAATATTTATCCCAATTAAGTCATCTCTTATAATTTGCAGTTGAGCCAAATTGGTTTTATTATGAAATTATCATCTATTTACTTAAGCTTAGATGTCCCCTAATAATTTAATAGTCTTATTACTCTTCTGTATGGAACTTTATAACTAACCTCATCTTTTAACATAATCATGAACTATTAAAAATAAGAACTCAGAAGTTAAAATGGAACTTGTTATACTTGAATTGTGTATTGTCAGAAAAGTGAGATCTTCATACAGATAGAAAATAATTTTCATGTAGCACCACCAGAATGAAATTAAGTTGCAAACTAATTAAGACCACACCTTTTTATCTGCTGAGATGATTATGTGATTGGACTCAAACTATGTTCAAGAATAGTGTTTCTTTGAACTCTGCAGGTGCCAGTGGGATTCCCAGATCACACAAAAACATGCGTATTCAATCCTTACCTGTGGGCATTAGTGTTTATATTCAGACATTCTGATATTCCTCATGCTCTGGTTGTTTCTTGTTTTTTTTCCTCTATTTTTCAAACTAATAGCTAAAAATCCCAGGACCACTTGGGATAAGTACTGTGGAACTTTTATAATGCAAAGCTTTGATCTCAGTTCCAGAAATAGAATCTGAAACATGGACCATGTTATGAAATCATTGAAGAATTTTGGTTTAATATATGGAATAATGTGAAGTACTCATTTTAATTTTCTATTCTCTTACGGATTGTGGAGGTTTTTATAACCCCCAAGCTACTGAAGTGATAAAGTGGCACCATGTTCTGAGCAAGGTTTTGTACATTTAGACCCTCGGTTAGATACAAAAGCCACTTTGGGATGATAAAATCAAAATATCATAACCATTTTAACAAGTCTGAAAATTCCTCTTATATAGGGAATTTAGGGGATGGTTTCTTGGCTAAGAATTTGGCTGAGTTCTGGACCAAAGTATACTTAGAGGGAGAGAGGCACAGTTGTCAAGTATGAAAAATCTAACCTCTGAGAGTACACCTTAAAATAAAACACAACTCTTTCCCTTTAGTGTGCAGTTGTTTAATAAGTTGTTACCATTGTTTTTGGCGGGAAGCTTTAAAAAACTAGTAGCTCCAACTTCAAAATTGTGTTTGAAATGATTCCTCTCGTCTCAGTAATTGTTCTAACTGCCAGGCGGGTGGAGGAAGCTGAGGTGAGCTGTCCTAATGGAGTAGTTGAAGGCACACACACACACACTTCATCATTGATTTTGATTTCGTCCATTTTTAAGTTCCTTTCCATTGTTTCTTTTTGTTTGAAATGTGTTTTTTATACAAACATGTTTTCTATTTGAATTCAGGAATTGTTAGAAATTTGGTATATGTTACTAGCTTCATCTTTTTACACTAGATATTCTAACTGGAAAGAAATCACCTCGGTGTCTCACATATCCTGTCACAGAGGCCGCAAGTCCCATAATGTCACGCTGTGCTGCCGCGGTGACCACACTCAATGGCTCAGTCTCACTTGAGGGAGCCAGCCTGGTCACTGTGGCTCTGGTCAAATGTGATGTTTCTCTTATGTGCTCTTGCGCACGCTCTCTCTCTTTCTCTCTGCCCCTGTTGAAGATGTGTAGAACTTTGTTTTTTAAATAGCTTTTTAAACTTTGTTCATACACCTACCTAATTTGTATTTTTTGTGACTTTAGATTCCAGCAGTATGTATATGTGGACATTTTAATGTGATAATTGTGCTAAATAAATTGCACTAATAAACATCTTACACTAACACCTTACAGACTGGATTTTCGTTGGGGGGGGGCGGGTGTGTGTGTGGGGGGTGGGGTGGCGAGGCGGGTGTCTTGATTGTTGTAATATAGTGTGACCATGACACACGTTTGGTAATGGAAGACTCTTGAGGTCTGAGATCTCAGCCTACCGAAGCACCTAATCCCACATAT